CACAGAGTTCAGAAATTTATAAAATTCGATCAAATTTCCTTCCTTGTATTTGTCTTTAATTTGATAATTTTCCTGGAGTTCAATAATTTCCATTTGAATTTGACTTGGGACATCTGCAGCATCACAGTCAAACGGATTTTGAAACAATCTAATTTCCTGAGCACTGGAATCCAAATAAGCAAATCACCTCCGAAATTGTTCTTTAAAATCTGAAATGACTAAATTTGCAAATGAGGAAGGAAATTCTGCTTCACCCTATTTATGCAACTCTGCACCGTATAGCATATGAACAAAGTTACAATTTTTCACTTGGCTTTCCAGAAGTATCAACTTTGCTCTGAATGCCTTGATAAGTGCAAATAAATCACATACTAAGTGATTTTCACCCTGCAACTTTAAATTCAAATGGTTCATATGGTTCACCAGATCAGCAAAAAATGCTAATTTCCAAAGCCACTTGGTATCTGATAAAAGTGATTCGTGATGGTTCTTCTCGGTAAGAAATATATCAATTTCATTCCTGAGCTGAAAAAAGCGCGAAAGAACCTTTCCACAGCTAAGCCATCCAACTGCAGTATAATATGTCAGGTCAATAAGCTTGGAATCACATTTACTAGTACTCATTGGAAAATTAGTTCAATTGGCACATTTCTGCACAATTCTTTCGCGGGCCGGATAAAATCACATCGCGGGCCGTATTTTGGAGACCCTTGGTCTAGAAAATGTGGGAACCTCAACATCTCACAACCCTATGGGCCTCCAGGGCCTGTTACAGGGATACCTTTACTTTACTTTTACTTAATTACGTTACATTTAAGAATGTATAAAACATCTTTCAAGTTGTGGTCTTCTGGATAGACAGTGTGGTCTGGTAGACGGGTACCAAAGTTCTTGTAGGACGCACCGCCTTCCCTTCAAGGTGCTTCTGTCCTAGAAGTAATATCTCCCTCCGAAAAGTTGGTACCCACCTACCAGACTACACGGCATCATAATCCAGACGACCACAATGTGAATCACACATGAACTAAATTAGTGAACAGGGTGTGGTGGTAAGGGAAGGAGTGTCTTTGTTGCTTGATACTAGTCACATCCGTTGTAAACGATAGATAACCTAAGTACATTGCCAGCTGCTGCAGGACGAAAATAACATGTCCAGCAGCAAAAATCCCGCTGAAATTTCAACACCAAGTATTGATAAGTTATCTTCGTTCGAACTACGTATCCTCAATATCTCGAACTGTACACCACGCAATACCGCAACCGTGTGTTTTCTTCATGGCTTACTGTACAACGCTGTAACTCGGGCTACATGGAGTGTTGGGATGCTTAAAAGAATGAATTAAGACTGGATTCGGAAGGAAACGGTCGTGGTCTAATGGATGCACAGTCCTCGCATTCTGGAGGGTCTGCGAAATGCCACGAAAATCTCGTCAGGATTGCCGGTGTCCGACGGAGATTCGAACCCAGTAGCTCCAAAATGCAGGTCTACAGCGTTACCACCACACCAACGTGCTCGGTTGGATTTCTTTTTCTGCAAAGTAGACAGGAACATACCGGTCCCTGCCTCCTCCTGTTGCTACTCGTGTCCTGTAACAAACTGCAGAGGAGCAGACTTTTTTTTTGTATGCAAAAGCATGGAAGGGCGTGGAAACGCTTCCTTCATGTAACGCCGAAGGAACGTTTGTATTAATAAACACTGGAACATTACCGAACAGTTAATTTTTGAACGCTACTTACGCAGTACAGCGCCTTAAGATGAACAACCCGATTCTCCCCCATCTCATGCGATCTATCACTCTGTCATTAACGTAAACGGAAAGCACTACTTATTGAGTAATGAGGCCGTGCCATCGCTCAGGCGGCTAGTCGCCGGCTTTTCACAGCGGCGGCCCGGGGTGAGCCCAGATTAGGTCATGTGGGATTTGTGGAGGACAAAGTGGCACTGGGGCAGGTTTTCTAAGAGTACTTTGGTTTCCCCTGCCAATTCACATATCACTCACTCACTGCTCCGCATTCGTCATAAATTATCCGTAGCTCGTACAACAGGCCGATTATTAGTGGCCGATGTGGCAAGTGGACTCAATCTCACCCCACACCAAGAAACCAACTAAACCACTGTGTAACGAAATACAGATATACACTTTGAGTAGGTCCAGTGTCCAGCCTAAAAAACAAAAATTTCGTGTTTTCAGGGGGGTGATTTTGGTTTGTGATCTTCTGGGTTGAGAGACTGTGCAGTCTCGTACGTAGGTACATCCTTGGTATCTATGAGGCTACACGTTTCTCGGAATCATCAGTAACAACACTGCAGATTACATGGTGTCATATTCCGTAAGACCGCTAATCCGGTTATTTTACGTTCGTGCCACAGCAAAAATTCGATTCAAACAGTCTATGGTCCTCATCATAAAGAAGATGACAGACGACGCCACTCTTCACTGAACACAGACTCCCTTAGACAATGAAGCGTCGGCAATGCAAGCAGCTCGAATGTCCATTAAACATGTTTATAACAAACTATCCGGTACTGCAGAAAACGCGTGGCACAGAAACGAAACCTGACCTTGTTAACACATTCACTTAACCATCTACGCTAATGCTGGGAAACCTGCGAACTCTTAGGGCGCACTGTTCAGTGTTTAAGAGAACTGGGAATGTTCTCAGAATAATTCACTGGTAGAAACTGCTTCAAGAAATACATGAAAGACAAAACAAAATTCGGCTGCTACAACAAAGTTACTCCATCCTACTTGCCAAAAAATTGCAATGACAGGACGTGATTCTTACCAGCCCATAAGTTTCGAGTAACTGCTCCTGGAAGGATCCCCTATTCGCTTCAGCGTCCATCTTGCCTCAACCTGTACCGCGTGAATGAGAACTGAAATCACTCGATTTGTGGTAAGAAATCCATACGTACAATCGATAACGCAATGTGGTGGGGAAGCGTATTTACTTTGGTATATACTTTATCTCTTAAGACGTATCTATGAGCGAACTCCTTTCCTGTGCAGTCGCTAAGCAATGAACCAGTTCTTACTTCACGTTTCGAGCGAACAACTAACGCCTTTATTTCGGGAGTACGTACTCTACACACCACTTCTCGCTACTTGTGTTCTCTTAACACTAAACTCGAACGTTTTTCGAAGCCCTTCACGATGAGTGCTTTCTCTTCCCACATTAAACTGCTTCCCCCACCACAGTCCACAATTCCCCAACATATTTCTCTATCCTACACACAGAACGTCATTACTTCACCAGACTGATTCTCACAGCTTTTACGTCGTCATCCAGCGGTTGCTACACACACACACACACTCCGTTTGTATGTTAGCCAAACCTGCTACGCGCCCCAACAAAACATACGCGTAGAAAGAATGCCCAACAGTTCATTATCTTCTCAGTGCCAAATTAGGTCATACTACGCGGTTTCACTGAATTCACAATATAAATATTCTACTGACGCTAGAATGGTTGACAGATGTTTATCCTGTGTTGCTGCCAAGGCCAGATGTGTGCACTGTTTCCATTTTAAGAGGTATTTTCATTGCAGTTACGCGACCTTCTTCGTACGAATCAGAAAGCTGCTTTTATAATGGGACACAAGAATTTTAACGTGCATAAAACAAGCTTACGTTTATACAGGCTCAACTGTGGGGGGAAGGAGAGCAGACAATTTGGTTTGACTTAGTTCAAACTGTTCAGGGCTATTTTTAATGAGTACTCTATAGGACTTCATAATACTGTCATGTGTTACTGACTAAATAATGCGTGTATGGATTGATAATTGGATTTATTAAACATTTATAACTCGTTTCTACATCGTATAACGATGACACTAACCCACACTCTTAACAAATCACTATAGCAAATGTTAAGTCTCAGTCTGTTACATCTTCATTAGTTGTTGCTCGGGTACCGTCTTCACTAGACGTCGCTAGGTTACGGCTGCTAATCATGGAAGTTCTTCACGATTAACCACGCACTGCTACCGCTCACTTACAGCTCACGAACTGTACTCACCAACCGCCGACTCAAGATTCCAAGTCAAAGTCATGTTAAGACTGGCGGTCGGTCAGCCAGTCAGTCTTGAAGTCAAGTCCCACCTGGGGCTCAAGACTAGATTTATGTTACTGTCAGACAGTTACGGATTTGTCGATGTGAGGACGGACGGCAGCAAGTAACAGTCTACTATAGTTACGACGCTAAATACGGCCGGGAGAAATTACTGCGTCATCCGGCTAGTACTAACCACCGTCAGGACGCTGGGACACTTCCATAAGTACCTCTACGGACAAGAATTCCACCTGCGCACCGACCACTCAGTATTAACCTGTCCAATGAGTTTAAAGAACCTCGATGGGCAAACAGCAGACTGCAGTCAGGGAGTAAAAGGATATAACTTCTCTTTCGAGCATCGCCAAGGCAGAAAACACAAAAATGCCGAAATACTTTCCTGACGACCATGTCAAGAGGTGTCAGTTCACTGCCACGACGCCCAGGCGCGGGCAGACGTCAAGCAGATACGAGTTACTGCGGCTGTAGCCGTAATCGGCTGGGATCAAGCCGCTCTGAGAACAGAACCAAACGATCAGGACATACACTAGAAGTACAGTGAACAACGCCAAGAATGGAAAGACATCGCTGACCGCAGTTCCTCGTACAAAAATTACTGGTACCATTGGAAACCCTCGCTGTGAGGAATGGCACACCACATCGCCACTGGGAATCCGTCGATGAATAATCGAGAACAGATCACACAGTTCTCCCTCGGAGCAAAGTGGACGAGTGCTGTCCGGACTATATGGTGGGCCGTCGGGTCACTTGAGTGTCAACAAGACCCTAAATAAAGCCAGGAAAATGTACTACAGGCTCCAGGCAAGGAACGATGTTGAGAAGCGGAGCTGGCAGTGCGACACCTGTGCAGCCAGTCGCGGCCCCCGAACCAGTAACCGGGGCCAAATGCATCACTATAACGCCGGGGACCCGTTCGAAGGGATTGCCATCGCTGTAGCAGGGCCCTAAGGAAACATACATCCATATCGCTGTGGACAATTTTTGCAAGTGGCCGGAAGCCTACGCCATTCCCAACGAAAGGGCGTCGACAATGGCGGAAGCGATGGTAACCAACTTCTGATACTTCGGAGTACCGCGGGAGCTACATATTAATCAAGGCCGTAATTTCGAGTTCCGTCTGGTGTACAAGGTTCTGCACCGCCTAGGAATGGACACGACACGCACTATACACCAGACACCTGACCGTAGTCCAACAGCAGCATGGCGAAACGATATACCAAAACTTCAAGGAGAATCTGTGAAAGGTTGTCGTGTCCCACCAGTCGGACTGGGACGCGAGGTCATTCATCTTTCTCCTTGCCTACAGGGCATCCATCCTCAAGAGTAGAGCTTTAACATCTGCCATCCTGGCGCTCCGGAGAGAACTCTGTTGTTCCTGAGACCTGCTATTCGTACCACCCCACGACAGGGAACGACCCATCATCGACCATGCGACAGAACTGGTGACCCGATTACAAAACATTCAGAACTGTGCCCGCCAAAATCTGACGTTCGGAAGTGACCGATTCAAAACTCGTTACGACAGGCTTCCCAACTGCGCGGGCTACCACGAGGGCGACGATGCGTGGCTCCATTGGCCTACCCGCACAAAAGGGAAGCCAATTATGCTTCAATCCCCATGCAACTGTCCACACAGGGTAGTCATGTGGATTAACGATGTGGTGTGCAGGATCCAGAGGAATGCTAAATCAAGGATGATGGTACACCTGGAGCGCCTGGCACATTATCAGGAAACCGTTCGGGACGAGCGGCCATGAGGAAGGAGCAGTCACCGTTGTTGTTTAGAAGTCCAATAAATCCGATTACCAATCCAAATCCCATCTACAGTCACTCCATTACGTGACAATATGAAGCAGTAGTGCTACCTACAGGGGATGGACAAAAATATGGAAACAGCCAACAAAAAACACATTACCGTGACTAATATTGTGGAGGACCTCTGGCTTGCAGAACTGCTTGCAGTCTCCTTGGAATGGATAAATAGAGGTCCTGTATGATTTGCAAGGGAATCTTGTACCATTCTTCCTGAAAAGCATGGTAAGTTCTGTTATCGATGATGGAGGTGGATAGCGAGCACGCAGATTGCTCTCCAAAACATATCACAAAGGCTCAATAATATTGATATCTGGCGATTGTGGGGGCCAAGGCAGACGTGACACTTCATCTTCGTTCTCAGAAAACCAGTCCTGGACGATGTGAGCTACGTGATCACAGGCATTCTTGGCTTGGTAAATGGCATCACCATTAGGGAAGAAAGTTTGCACCATGGGATGGACCTGGTCGCCCAAAATGGTCACATAGTCGTTGGCAGTGACGTGACCTTGCAGGGTAATGATGGGTCCGACAGAATACCACGATATGGCTGCTCATACCATGATCAACCCCCCGCCATGTTTCACTCTTGGCAGCAAACAATCTGGATCGTAAGCTTGGGATGGCGTTCTCCAGACGTAAACTCGGCCAGAAGTCGGAAACAGTGTGAAGGTGGGCTCATCCGACCAAATGACCGTCTTCCATTGCTCCATAGTCCAGGTTTTATGACTTCGGCACCACACTGTCCTCTTAGTGGCATTTTGATCACTGATGAGTGGCTTTGGAATTGCAGCTCGTCCAGAAATACCCTGCTTGTGGAGTTCCCTTCGTACTGTTTTGGTGCTGACAGGGTTTGTGAGCGTGACATTCAGTTCAGCAGTCACTTTTGCAGCTGTAGTCTTCTTATTTTTCGTCACAATCGTACGCAATGTTCGTCTGTCTCCATTACTCAACACACATTTCCGTCCACGCTGGTGTTTATCGGATGCGGGTTTTCCAGTCCTCCTGTATGCGGTCATAATCTTGGATACTGTGCCTCGCGAAACACCAAAAACCTCGGCTACCTCGGCTACCTTGGTTACGGAAGCACCCACCATATGGGCCTCAACAATTTGCCCGCGTTCGAATTCTCTTAGCTCTGACGTGATGCATAAAAAATTGCACAGAACACTCTCTCGACAACAAATGAAGCTTGCAACGTATTGCGGAGGTTGTACAGGTAGTGGTGTTGGGCAGATACGACAGCGTGACCTACAAACGTCGCTAAAATAAACACTTCAATTCAGGCATGCATTTCACAGGTGTGTACATATTTTTGTCCATCCCCTGTACTTAACCGAAACTTTCACTAACGGACCTTCCGTAGCTACACCTGTTTCTCCAAGTATAGTGGATCAGTTCATCATAGCATCCGATAGGAAGTGCACAATTCTGACGCCTTTGAAGCACGAATTTCTTCTACTTCATATTTAAGTACTCATTTCCTACCTCACAGCAAACACTGCACTTTCATTATAAATACCAGCTGGTTAATGCTGCTTCGGGAAACAATCAGTGACTATTCTGATAATTATATGAAACACGTATCCTAAATACAGGGTAATGCATGAGTTCCTCCGGGATTTGTATGTTAATTGTAACTGAAATCTCGGAGGGACTTATGAATTACTCTGTACATTTTTTATGGAAAATGTAGAGAATTTTCATGCTGATTCACTAAGCTCTAAAGACATACTCGATGTTCCATGCATTGCAAAAAAAGTGAAAATTAATTTGTCTCACTACTGCCCCTGGCTCTTTCATGTACTAATAGCGTACAAGAAGAGTCACGGATCTCTGCTGGGTATGATGCAAATCGTAATTTTGTTCTAGGCTATATCAAAGGATAAAAACTGTCTTATCATGCAGATAAATATTTTCCATTACTGTGAAGAAACACGTACTCGATGAACGTTGGAAAGACAATAAATTGATTTTATCATTTCGGGACAACATATACTGATAAAACTTCAGATAAAATTCCGATTTTATCAAAATCGCTGTAAGAATTATCACCAACACTGTGCATTAACTAAACACGGTACGAGTTTAAAATTATCGAATAGTTTTGAAGTCAAGTAGCCATCCACATACGTCGAAGTTAATACGTAGGCTGAAATCTACTTACGAGCGGGAAAGTAATTAAATTGAGTAAATGTGGCTCGACTGATGAATTCTCTTATGTTGCTCCTGTGGGGGAAAAGCCTGTACTACCAGGAGTACAAACACATTGTATGGGAGGCATGTCCTACTTCAAACAGGTTGTGATCGACTTTTTAGTGTCAAAACTGCCAGTGATCTACCACC